ATACAGTGACCTTTTCATTATAATCTATTTTCACAGAACACATAGTAGTTTGTATTAATGAACATAAAGGAGATGAATATCAGAAAAATGTAAAACTGACCACATCATATTTTTGACCAAAGCTATGTCAATACCATTTGATCTGTTACAGTAGGGCTTCTAGTAATACAAAAATAATATTAAAATCTCATTGTACTATAATTTATACAGTGCAAAGAGACGTAATATCCTGGTGAAAAGAAGTTTGTTTTGGCCAAGGAAATTAAAGTCGCGAAAAATTTGAAGAGCGTGTTAGCCCAATCCTTCTAAGCAACATATGGCAATCTGTGGTCTTTCCTTACACTTAGGTAGCACGGAAAGCCGCAAAACTCTTGAACAAAAGCTCATCTTTCAAACCGGCAATCTAAATCCCAAAGGTAACTACGAACGTTTTTCATTCCACTAATTTATTCGTGTTTTTCTCGTTGCCATGTTCCCACCAGTCACGTAGCTCCTTTTACTGCCTTTAAAAGCACACACAACCCACAATTCCTCTATTCGCTCCGACGAAGGGCTAACGCTCGAAACGTCAGCTTTTATAACCTTAACGGTGGCCAATTTACCATTTCAACTTTGTTGATATATTCAAATTATTCCGTTACCCCCACCGACGCAGCCCCAAACAGTTCGTTAAGAAACTATCAGCCTTTATTCATTTTAAATTAAATTTCTTAAGAACTGTTTTACGCAGAATCAAATCAGTATTTGTGAGATTCAAACGTGCGTGACTTTTCTCTTAAGTACGTTACTCTTGATTTTAAATTTAATTCTTGATCATCATGTGACTCGTTTGAATACACTTCTATGTTCTCGTTTTTTAATGTATGATATATCCGTGTTGGCCTTTGTTACGGCAAGTCAGTTTCACTCTAAATCATCAGTCATTTCTGGGGCGGATCCAGGGGTGGTTCTGGTTGGGTGGAACCCCCTAAATTTCGCTCAAAGGGATGGAAATCATGTTTCCTAAGACCTAGTTTTCAAAATCTCCCGGAGGAGCATGCCCTCGGACAATTCTCAGAACACCCCTTAACTAAATCCTGGATCCGCCCCAGCTTTTCACCCTGCCCGTTCACGTTAATAAGAGGAAATATATGTGAGTCGTTTGTCCTTTTTTCGTTTTCATCCTATTTGTCAATTTCCTTAGATCTATTATGATTATAGCCGTAATTTCCTTTGTAGTCGAACCATCATTTTCATCATTATCTTCAACGTAATCGGATGCGTTCAATTTACTCGTTTGACTGTGATCGTGGAATAAATTTTCTCTTTTTAAAAGTTATCTCTTGGCTGGAGTCTACATTAATCTGAAAGATAATCTCAGGAGTTTTTTTCATTTAAAACCAAATTTTTGTAAGAGAAATAACATACTTCAAGGTATTACCTCTGTCCTCATAAAATACTAAAGTACCTGCTGTGATAACAATCATACTAATTCAAATGAGCAATATTAGTTTGGTCATGGACAAACCTTGCATTAGGAAGGTGTCACGATCGAAATCATTACGCCCCATTTCACGGAAGCATTTTACGTTACTTAGCTCGGTTTTATTTCATCCCAATGGACAGGTAGGAGGATTAGTAGTTTGGTCATGGACAAACCTTGCACTAGAAAGGTGTCACGATCGAAATGATTACGAAGTTTAGTCAAATAAAGGAAGCTTTCATTTGTAATTAATTCGACTAAGATATCGTCAAAATAAACTAGAAAAGGCTTTAAATGCGAATAACAGTTATTTCCAAGTGATTTTTCGGAGAATTATAAAATCTAGTTTTGTAGAGCATGTAATAATTTTAATTAAAATTGTGAACTTCGAAAGTTGTCACCGAAGGAAGCTTGATTGAAATTAAAAACACAGGTGACAAGAAGTGATTATGTGTTATAAGAAATTTTCGTGTCATACGAAATCTTTTCGTTGAAATGTTCTCTTAAAATATGATTGGTGATATTAAGGAGTGTATTTCTAACGTTAACAACCACGAGACTATAAGCTATCTATAATCTCTTACTACAAGATTTTGTCGCAACACTGAAGATTGTCTTGCACGCCTTTTTTCCTTTTACTGGTTTATAATGATGTTTACGAAGCGATGTCGGGTCCAAAAGCGAAGTAATGATAGCCTTGTGTAGCATCACCTTGATTTTATGTATAGGAGTAAAAGAGCAACATTTCTCATGCGTTTAAAGGACAATTTTTTCCCTTTTTCTGACATTTTTATGAAACCTAACATGTAAACAAGGAAAGTGAGGTAATGTGGACGATCGTGTCAAAAAATTGAAAAATTAGTTTTCCGAAGCTCACCGACAAAACGTGCAAAATAAATAGGGATTCAGGAAAGGTTTTTGAGATTTCCAACCTTTCAAGATCAAATTTTGGCCCCATATACTCACAAGACACAAACTTGTTATGTTCCGAGGGATCTTTCCTTTCTTTCGTTGCTTCTCGAATTCGAAATATCTGACCGGCTGACAGTGATACAGATATATAACAATTTCTTATCTAAATACAGAAAAAAGGAATTAAAAATTGTATAAATACTTTTTTTTTCTGCTACATGTGAAATTTTTGGCTCTGTGTCACCAAAGTTTGCCAAGCTCGCAACACCTTGATTCCGCGTGAGGCTTTCTCCACATCATGTACGATAAACTACTTTTAAGCCCAGAATAAAGTTTGATAATTTGCGTATGATGGAAAGCTAGTGACGTAAATCCGACTTACTATTTTACTCTTATTCCTCCATGTTGAGTTGGTTTGAAAATACAGGCCATCATTACGCCCCATTTTACGGAAGCATTTTACGTTACGTAGCTCGGTTTTATTTCATCCTAATGGACAGGCATGTTATCGAGAATACTAATCTGATTTTTTTGACCAGTTTGACCTTATAGTATTTGTGTCTTGAGGACTTATATCTCTAAGTAATTTATCAAATTAGACGCGAAAATAGGGAGATTGACATTTCCCATAGTCTACATGAAAAAAATCATTCGACAAATAATGAGAACAAAACAACAGCAACTTTAACTGCTTCAATCTAAGAAACGGAATTTGTGTCAGTGTAGGCAACATGGAGAATACTTTCAATCTGACGTAGTAATTACAAAAAAAATGTTAATATGCGTTAAATTAATTTCAGAATTACCCTTATCAATATAAGTTATTATTAAAATTTTGGTTCGTTTAAATGGAAAAAGCCATATGTTTTTAACCAAGTTATCCGTGGAACTATGATCAAACAACTGGTAATTATAATATTTTTTCTTCTCTTTCTCTGTTTTTTTCTTTTTTTTTATTTTGATAAAGAAAGACAATATCAAGTCTGTCCTTGAAACTCTGCACATGTGAACAAAAATATATCAAAAATTCGGCAGGTATATAAATAACTCAGTTTCAAGTTTTTTTAATATGACTTGAATTTTGTGAGTAAAAAATTGTAAACGAAGGAAAACAAAATGGGGCCTTGAGTTTCTGTTCGAGATTATTCACAAGGGACTGTAGATTCCGTGTTATTTTCAATGATGATTTTCAGTTTAATCCGTAAGGAAGTTATCTTGATAGACTTCGATTATCATAAAGGCTTATAGGGCAAGCTTTTCAAGAATTTTCTAACCATTCCTAGGTTACATTCTCAGTAAGAAATTGCGAATGTCAGATGTGAGAGGCTACCTGTTCAAACTGAATTGTTAAATCTTTCCTAGGTTATAATAACCGGGGAAGATTTGAAACTACGAGCAGAGGTCCACACCATTTTAACCATTTCACTCCCAAGATCCTACCTATTAGTCATTCTCAGTACTGTCTGACATAACGGCAATTCTTATTATGTGGCTTTGGAAAATTTGGTTTTTTGAATCAATAATCCCCTAGTTGATATACATATCTTATTAACCAAGCGCGAGGGCCGTACTGGGAGAATATCGGCCCGAGGTCTTGACAATACGGACCAAGCGCAGCGAGGTCCGTACAAAAGAGACCGAGGGCCGATATTCTTCCAGTACGGTTCCGAGCAAGCTTGGTTAATAAGAGATTTATTACACGACTTAAGTTCAAAGGGACACAAGTGCGGTATCATTCGGGACCATTCGGCACAGTGCCCGGTCCAATACTGAGAGAATATTGACGGCAATAGAGCATTTTGATTGGTTGATTTTAGTTATTGGCCCTCTGACTGCCCGAGTCGTGTAATAATTTTTTTTATTCTCATATTACTTGTCTTCTTGATATTGTATTGATAACGTAAGGAGAATTCAGTCTGTCACCGGAGTTGAAGGGTTAAGATAAAGAATAAAGGCTGATAGTTTCGAAAGAAACTGTTTGGGGCTGCGTCGGTGGGAGTAACGAAATAATTTGGATATATCAACAAAGTTGAAATGGTAAATTGGCCACCGTAATGATTACAAAAGCTGACGTTTCGAGCGTTAGCCCTTCGTCGGAGCGAATAGAGGAATTGTGGGTTGTGTGTGCTTTTAAAGGCAGAAAATGGAGCTACGTTATTGGTGGGTGCATGGCAACGAGAAAAACATGAATAAATTAGTGGAATGAAAAGCGTTCATTGATCCCTGTGGGATTGAGACTGCCGGTTTGAAAGATGAGCTTTTGTTCAAGATTTTTACGGCTTTCCGTGCCACCTAAGTGCAAGGAAAGACCGCAGATTGCCATATGTTGCTTAGAATGATTGGGTAAATTAAAATGTCTAGCGACTGGTTTCGATGTGTCCTTGTCATTCCTTTCCACGTCTCGAAGGTGTTCTCGGAATCGGTCACCTACTCTTCTGCCTGTTTCGCCGATGTATATCTTTTTGCTATAAGTGCAAGTTATGCAATAGATTACATTAGCGGCGGTGCACGTGAAGT